CTTGGTCCCACCCAGCTCCCTCGTCCTGGTCCCCACCCAGCTCCAGTCCTCGTCCTGGTCCCGCCAGCTCCCTCGTCCTGGTCCCAACCAGCTCTCTCGTCCTGGTCCCTCACAGCTTCCTCGTCCTGGTCCCAACCAGCTCTTTCGTCCTGGTCCCATCCAGCCCCCCTCGTCCTGGTGCAACCCCAGCTCCCTCGTCCTGATCCCAACCAACTCCCCTCGTCCTGGTCCCACCCAGCCCCCTCGTCCGTCCCACCCAGCTCCGCCCAGCTCTCACCGGAAACGGACCGGTATTCAGCGGGCGGCGTGAATTGGGCCACATGTAAAGAGGCTAACAGGTGGAGAGGTTTTCTTGGAATTGGCGTGCCCTGAGCGCCCTGTGTGGCATTGCTTGGCTGACTGGTCCTGCGGCAGAGACCCGACCCTGAACCCAGGGGTGCTGAGGGCCTGAGACTTTTTAATGTGTTGCTACGCTTAGGGTTCGGAGTAGCTGTCACCATTGCCGTTTCTAAAACATCATATGTCAACGTCATTTGCAATAATGTTACTGTATGCACTTCCTTCAAGCGTTTGTTTGTTTTTGAGTGAGCAAGTAGGCCAAAGATCCTTCTTGGAGCGCCAGAAAAAATGTGAAGAGCCGAGTCTTTCACTGCCTGGCAAGCTTCAGCACCGTCATGTTCACTGCTGCATTAGCCCCTATAGCCGTTAGCCGATTTTAGGATTTTTGGTATCTTACAGGCCTCGTGATGTCATCAAGCACGAGGGAAATGTCAACAAAGTGCGTGGTTGAACACACCAGCGTCATTGTTTGCCCGCCCGAATGTCTCTGAATCCTATGTCGGGACACGTAACGAGGGAGCTGTAAACGCTGACAGATGGCTGCGGTCGGTTAACACCCCCGCGGTGCCGTGAGTATAACTATGGATCACTCGCAGTGACTTTAAACAGAGGTACAGTCTCCTATTCAGTGGAGAGGGTGTATTTCAGCCTCTCCCCCTCCCCTCGAAAATAAACAGCTGTACAAGCCCCCGAATTTGGGAACAAAATGGACCAAATCCGGCGTAAACTCCGTTTACTGACGGACTTTAGGAGCAGGTTTCATCATTTTTCACCGCTCAAATTTATACCCAACCCCCCAATCAGTTTGAAGCGAATTACGCCCCTGAGTGTACGGCATACCCGGGGTGAAAGACCTAGCTCTTGTTCATATATTTAAGTCTGACTGATGACACAGAGGTCATGTTCAAGTCACGCTCGTAATTCGGGGACGGAGAGCACAAGTTTAAGACATAATGTCACAGAATATTGGTAGTGAACTGGGACGCAAGTGTTAGAAAAGGGACTGGGTAAAAATATGTCATGCGTATGCTTGTGCCTGTGATGATTTAGGACAATTTATGAGGTTTGGATATAAAATAATAAATTTAACGAGCCACGAGTGTTCGGCTGGAACCTTTATTCAACCGACATGCTCCTCATATTCCGTAAAAGCGTTTCTTCACAACAGCTGGGCAAGAGTCAGCGCCATGGGATTGACAAGCCCATGTGTAGTGTTAAAGGACGGAGGAAGGTATAGAAGATACGACAGTTTCGATATTAACACGGCACCAGCGAAATGAAGTCTCGCTGTATCCCACGTCGGTGGGCTCAGTTATGATTTTGACAGACTTGTGGAGAAAATTTTGCGAAGGTAGAAGAGGTAGAAGAGACGAAGTTTACCATTTCCAGCCATCGGTCTTCAAACGTGATATAGTCGTGCATAGACTGTGCGGCACTCATCAAGCCACCGGTGTTATCAAATAGACATATTACTCGTCAATGTCCAATTAGGGGCAATGGCCTATGCAAATACTTCCATGACTTTGTTCCAGCAGGAGTACGCGAAAGCGGAGTTATCGCGACAGGAGATCCAATCTCAACAGGACAGAATGACAGGAGCACTCGTTGGGCATTGACAAATTTTTCATCACTATTTTGCTGGGGCCCTGGTGGTACTCTTTGGAGGGCTGTAAAAAATATGGAAGCTGTCGCCCTGCAGGCGCTATTTTTGTCATGGCTACCGCTCACGAGCGGGGTCCCACATTTTGACCAGAGAAGCACGCCCCCCATGCTTCCCCTCACGCTGCGTACGCCCATGGTTTCCAGGCGTAGGTCCCCCATCGAATTGGACCCCAAAGGCGAGACAGTGTTTATTCGACTACGGAAGCGCCGTTTGTACTGCAACAAAGTACAGTGTTCTGTTCCATTTTGACAGGTGTTAAGGTCAGCGGGCCCGAAAAGGTCACTGGTTGGCTAAAGTAGCCAGATCTAATACTTACCGATTTCCTGCAAGATTGACTCCGCTATTTGTAGGTTTTAGCTCGCTTCTCCAGCTGACTAAATAAACAAATTTTTGAACATTATTTGCTTTCGCAACTGCATTCGCCAGAAGCACGAGTGAATATCGCCTCCGAAGAAGTCTGAAGTCAGAAGAAGGTCAACTAAGGAGACAGCTGTTAAGTTGAAGCATTCTCTAAAAGAACGCATAACGGATTTCAAAATAATTTTTTAGCCGTGATTTACAATTACTAGCATGTTGCATTGAAAGCAACATATTTGACTGGGTCATAGAATCTTTCTCATATGAAAGCTTCCTATATGCATCAGGGCTTTTATTCACTGATTTTTGCATTATGACTGCTGAGTTGTTCCGCTGTTCATGTTTTTTATCCGCTTGTGACCGTAAGCACACCTTGAAACGTTGGATGTTTAAAGCGTGGATCATATTTTGACTATAATGTCGTTTGTCAGCACCGTGACGGCTGATAACTCAACATAAAACTGACATTTTCCGGTATGTGAAGAAGGACCTTCTCTGTCTCGCAAAAAATCAATGCAATTGACGAGCCCTTAAAACTCAATAACTAACTGACCGCTTCTGTCAACTGTCTGGCTCTCTCTGTCTGGTAGATGATTGTTTCATCAATAAGTCAGACAGCGTTGTGAAACAGGCTTAGGGGCTCTCTGTTTCACAAGAATGAGCCATGCGATCGACTATCATTTTGCTTAGAAAATCATTCAGTCAAGTCATTTTATACCTTTGCAGATTGCATCGTCTAAATTTCTAGAATAATCGTGAAGCCACAGATGAGAATCGAGCGCACCGACTTGACTCCGCTGCATGTCTGTCTGCGTCAGCACGCCCCGTGTATGCGGATGGCCCGCGTCTGCACACGGTTTGGCTGTCTAACATCCAGAGTTCCCTGGTGTCTACCCACGCCCCATCTGTACATGCTACAGGCGGCAGACAGCCTTCCAGCTTTCACATCAGAGCTTCACGCCACATACGCTGAGGCTTTTCGGATGGCCCATCTCCTGGGCGATGTACTTACCTCTATCCACGCCCCTACAAACTCCCCAGTAACCATTGGCTGAGGACGGTTGCCGCCAACAGAGACACCCATGGCAGGAGGCGGCCGATGGCACTGACTACAGTGGCAAATCCTTTTGTTCATCTTGGAGAACGGATGATGTAAGGATCAACATCATTTGTAGGATCTTGATAATGCTCAAAACTACTTGTTCTGTGCGAACTTAGCGGTTTACTGACAATAATTTAGGAAACGCGTTCGCGCTGATCATGCCGTCCTATTTCTATCAGTCCTTTTCTGTGGGTAGCTGTAGCTCGGGGGACAATGAAAGAGCTATACGAAAGCGTTTCATGCGGTTTGAGGAGAAAATGAGCATTATTCATTCAGCAGTGGCGGTGGTTCAATAAAATCGGGTTGGTGGCAGGAAAAGGGCAAACGGTGTTTTTTAAATTACTTATTTTCCTGCAACACTTAAGGATTAACATCAGTGGCGGACCTTTGCATGAAATGCTAGCAATGCTAGGGTCTAAATAAAGGCGGAACTTTGTTTCCTAGTTGCTTCGGTTTGGGTTGGAACTATTTGGTGCCGAAACCCATACGTGAGGGGAAGGGGCCCACAGAACTTTTCCTCAGCCTCCTCTTCAACGCTTTTAGTATTGACGTTGATGTGTCGTTATGGAGAGATAAGAAGTCTGGCTATGACCGTAAATGAGATTGAAGCAGTCATTTCTTCCTACACAACGCCACAAAATTTAGTTTCATTTCATTTAATTTTGTACTGCAGATGCATCCCGAAATGACCGATAAAGTTCCGCCTACAAGAAGTACAAGATTTAACCGAAGGTAGGTACGGCTGCTCTCTAATTTCTTGTTGCTTGATTTCGACCTTCTTACCCTAGAATTTTAAAATGGTTTGAGGGCGGAGCACGCACAAAACAGACGTCATCAGTCGTGTCGACGTCGGTCACGTGCTCTTACGACATTCTCTTGGCACGGGTGTGAAATGTTGGCGGTGCTTGGCGTCTGACGTCACTGGGCGGGTGAGGTGTACGGCATATGTTTACAGTTAGGGTGCTAGCTCTACGAGTGACGACACGTGGGGTGGTCCCCGGAAGTGTCCCGACTGCTTGTCAGCGGTTGTTAACACGACGCTGAGAGTCAAAGCTCACTGGAGCGACAATAAGCCACGCGAGCGGATGCTCCGAGACGTCATGTGAATTGATGTGAATCTGACGCCTATCATTGTCGGGTTTGCCATATCAGCTAACTTAAACGCTACCAACAACCGCGACCCGTCAGCAGACCAGCGGTGTGACCGATTCATTTGCCAGCTGCTGACGATCTGGGGGCAATGGCATGCAGGTTCAAATCCGTCTGTCGTTAGAGGAAGTTCGAGACCCGGCGTGACTACCGCGTGAGCGCTCGCGTCACCGAGACCACAACCGCCGGCATCTATTAATAATCCAAGTCGAAGCTGCCTGCTGCGGCTTCCTTAGGATGAGGTGGACGCTCAGCATAACACTGCGGTGTTTGTCCGGGCCTAGAAAACCCAACCGCAAACTTCTTGCACATGTGTAGCAAATGAGGCACGCCTTGTTGTGCCCGTGGACCAGAATGCAATGGGAAGCGGACGCAACATCACAAAGCAACATGTATTAATATATTTTCTTTGTTGGCATAGACATTGCAATAAGCACATCCACGTGCCGCAATGCGGCTCGTTCGAAACGAGCGTCACGTCTCTATCTGCACACTTGTCTCCCAGCCGATCTAACTGGCATGTCTAGATATGTACATTATGTACAACGCGGACAATGAACACACCTCCACTGCCTGTGTAGTGCACATTTGCCACCTGCAAAAAGTTATAAATACTGATAGTTAGCTGACGCTACACAGAGCCCAGCGATGCGGTGTGAGTACCAGCCCATTCGCTGTCTAGCTGGAGGCGAGCTTGCCCTCCTTACACCTCGGGCATTTCCAAGGTCAGGGCGACCCCGTGGTCGGCGCGATTCCTCGGGACGCACACCCTCAGCGAACGGCGCGACGGCCAGCAGCCCTGGCGGCCGGGCGGCGAGGCTCTCCGCCTCCGTGTCCCGGCGCCGCGCGCGTGCAGCCCCAGTGACGTCACGCCCTCGGACGGGCCGTCTCCGGGGCGGGCCGGCGACCACTCGATCTGGCCGGATTTCCACCGGCCCTAGCCCGGGTCTGGCGAGCTCTCGGCACGCCGGGTCACAGGGCCGGTCTACGAGCCGAGCATGCTGAGGCCCACGCTCGTGCCCATCAGGTAGTTCTTGTAGATGGTCTGGATCTTCTGCTGCAGCACCTTCAGCTGTTGCGACAGCTCCTCGCTGTCCTGCTTGTTGGCCTCCAGCGTCTCCATGCCGGGGAAGTCCTGCTTGGAGCAACAGTCCAGGAAACCCTGCAGATGGGCACGCAGAATTAAAGCCCCCATCCGGCGCCGAGCCCTCACTCCTCTTGTGGACCAGTGAATTGCAACTTATCTTCACATCCAACGGTGCGTGAAGCCGTGCCAAGGAAGCAAGCATTTATCTCCTTCAGTGCCCTCCCCACTCCTCTCTCCCTTCGCTTCCTCTTCTTACTTTTCTGCATGATAACATGCGAAGGATGACTTGTCAAAAACACTGCTTAGACCTGTTGTGCAGCACCGTAAGGGCGATTCAAACTTAAATCCCCTCCTCTCCCCTCCCTCCCGGATCCCCTTCTCTATGCTTATTTGCCGTCGTAAGCTACCTAAATCGGCCCATTAAGACCTGATTAACAGCTCATAGATGGTCTGAACTGCATGCGATACGTCCTTCTCAGACAAAACACGTCGGAAAGGCTTCGGGCTTCGGAATCTGGTGAAATGCCCTTGACACCAATAAGCGGGCTTAGCGCATTCCACCGTCGACGCCCAGGCTAGATCCACCTGTGCTGTACCAGGCACTGAATGAAGCACGGCGCAGTTGATGGGGCAACCCAGCTACATGTACTCAGCTGGATCTCCAGGCTAATGACTAGACGGCGACAGTCAAGGACTTAGCATATCCAAGAGCAGTCCACCGAAGTGTACCCTGGCAACTATGCACAGGAGGTAATTGCGCTGAATATAGCTTAACTAACTGTATAGCTATCATAATTGTATATAGTAATTGTATAATATAGCTAATTGAAAAGTGTGTGTGCGACCGTTACCGGCAAATAACTTTACGATAATGCATCACGTGAATTTTCTGGCCATCTGCAAAGTGAACGGTGAGATTGTGCTGACAAATAAACAATGCCCTAAATAAGATGTAATGATGAACATAGCACATGACACTCATGCATTTTCACATACGGAATGTGCCCCACGTTATAATGTCGATATTATATGGAAACAAACGTAACATTCAGTATGCCTGGGTATATATGGTGCTGCTACAATTGTAAAAATTGCGTGCATGTCGTCAACGTCCAAGAATGTACACAAAAAGACAATATTATTGCAGAATGCGCCCACTGCATACGTATGCGCCATGTTTTGTCACCAGATGTCACTAGCCTCTGGTCGCCTGTCTGGATCTCGTTTTGTAACGTACAGCCGGTATGACTAACGTACGATCACGCACTTGGCAGTGGTGAGACCGTTCTAACGGAACGCAGAAGTTGGAAGCAATTTCTGCCAGACGCTTCCTAGGGCCTTTCAGAAATCGAGCAGGAACGTTATTTTTACTTGCTGGCATATCAGTTGATGATCTCCATTCACAGTATTACTGCCTTTTGACCCCACCCCTGGGACGGCATCTGACAACCACAGAATATGACGCCGAAACCGATAGCCTTCAAGCGCTGGCAAAGTGATGCTTCGGCGCCCAAGGTGACAGGGTGGGGATGGATAGCGGCTTTACCCAATTCATTCTGTGCAATGGGATGCAGGGCTCGCCATCGTACGGAGCTCATTTCAAAGTCATCCAGATCAGGGTGCCGCCGCCGTCGCGCCCCACGCCGTGTCCGGTATCGGCGGGCGGCGCGGGCTGCCTCCCGGTGCCCGCCCGCTGCCGGGTGAGCAGCCTACCTGCAGAATGTCCCTCCTGCGGGACAAGCTCGGCAGCTTGTCGGCCAGCTGCTCGAGCGGCGAGTCCAGCTGCGCCATCCCGCTGGCCGTGAAGCAGGCCTGCAGCTTCGAGAACAGGACCTCGTCTGCCGGACAGAGGACACGGTGAGACTGACGGGTGAGACGGGTGGCGGGTGAGCCATACACACGTGTTCCGATGCACGTGGCGCTGAGAACACGCGTGCACACGTGAACGGGAATGCAGTGCGCCGAAGCGGCGAGCAATTTCACCTCCGCGTCAGCTTTCTCAAAATGGGTTGCGGCTCTCTACAAAGTCGTCCCTGACATCACGTATCGCGTGGGTCGTATAATCGAGCAAACAGCCAACCTCCAAATAAGCGCCGCAGCCTCCAGACAGCATAATCAGCTCCATAGATATTCCGAACGCCCGTGCCCTCTTTGCCAGTGTGACATGCACGTGTCTGCCGCTGCCGACCTTTGACTGCCGCCCCGTTAGCGGTCCCGCTGTCAACAGCGGCGTCGGATGCTATCCATCCTCCGCGGACATGTCGCCTTCAGGAAAGCGGGGAGGAGCGGGACATATTGGGGGAGGCTGTCTGACGGCCGTTGAGGTCACGGTACCGACCAGGACAGGCGACTTAAGTCGCCGGAACCAGTTATAAGCAGGCTGAGGTAATGCCCGTGCGGAAGGGGAGTGGATGGGTCAGTAGGGACACCCCTGCTGGGGGTGCGGCCGCGGGTCAGAGGCCGCAGGGGTCGAGGGTAGGGGCCAGTCATGAGCGGGACAAGTAAAGTGGGCAGACCTCTCACAGTCAACACGGAGATAAGCAAATGTTGGAGGATGGGCAGGGTGGATGCCATACAAGGCGGCGACGACGGCCCTTGGAACTATAGGTGATGCACGTACCAAACGCCCCATACCTCCAGTAAGGACCCCCTGCCATACGTCGACGGCATCAAACCACTGCTAGTGCTACCAAACACGCGATCTGCTCACGGAAACGGATTCCCCGAACCCGCTGTGTAAAGAGGACGTGCGTCCAGCTGTGCTGAATGCAAGGTGCACCGAACACCAAAGCTTTTCAATGGACGACCATACAAAGGGTCGGACAGGAGCTTGCCAGTGGGGAAGGGGAGGGGCAAATTCGTGGAGCGTGGACCCCTCGGCCCCTATTCGTGAGTACCAAGTGCAATGTCATGACTGTACGGGATAAATAAAGCACATCAACGTTATCGCGCCCCTCCCTTTCACCCATCGATGCTTTGCTTGGACCCTTGCGTGACATGCTTTTCGGCAGCGACGATCATGCCAATTTGGCGCTCTGATCCCCACTCGTCATCCCCTCCCTCTGCGCCCCGCTGGTACCCTGGACACCGGGGGGTTCCCGGTTCCTGCGGGCGGGACGGTCAATGCGGAGACCCCGCGGCTCGACATCGGTCTTCCCGGACTCGGCACGCGTCACCCCGCCGATAGCGGAGCGTCGAAGCTGCGCTCACCGGGCTGAGTCAGCCGCCGCTGCCCGCACCCCACGCGGCGATTAACGCGCAGTACCGGCCACACGAGCCGCCGCAGAACGGGGCGGCACGTGATCGGCACCGACGTCGCGTGGCGTCAGCGTTCGACACAGGCTCGCGCGCCGGGCTAAGCCCACTGGCGTGGACCGTGAGGCGACATCGCCGTGAACGCTCAGCCGGTTTAGCGCTGCTTGAGTTGTTATGTTTGGGAGGTGATGGCATACCACAGGAGCGATTCACCCTGAACGGGATATCAGCAGCTGGATGCGTAAGAAGTAGGGGGCGTGCCAGGACACAGGAGAGGACTTTGCCTGGGGACAGGAGACATTTGGCAGCAATCCAGCTTTGCAGTGAAGGTAAATAATGCAATCATTTGACAATCAAAAATGGCTCAATAGCGTAAGGAATGGTTTTGCAATCAGTCTTTGTAAGCGCAGACTGTTGCGAAGAGTTCGATCATGCCGTCTCACGGATGGCGTGCGATTTTGCCGTGCCTTGTAATCTCAGCATATTGCACGCTATTGCACCCTGACTGCTTTGGCCAGTTGCCAGCTAAACGCTGTGGGTCAAATCGAGTAAACGCGACTGTTGGGACGCGAACCCGAATCGCGAATCTAGTGAACGCGGCTGCTGTGTGACGGTTTGCCTTTGACCTTGATTTATCTGAGCCGTTGTGAATTCGCCTGCATGGACTACTCGAGGTGAACAAAAATACAATTTACGATACCAATTTGGCATCCGTTGTTGGCGGGCTGGGAGCTCAAAGCTCCAAGCATCTATTTTAGATGGCTTCGGTCTTGCCACGCAAGCGTGCGGTCAGTTACACGATAACAGGTTCAAGAATTAAAACGACGGCTAGCACGCAATCGTCGGATAGAACGGCGCAGCCGCTGCCAAACCGCCCGCTCGGCAAACGGGACCGATGCAGGCAGATAAGAGCAGCTTAACAGGCATGAAACCAACCACTTACAGATGTCACTGATGCTGATGATACACACTTACTGATGTCGCTAACATTGTCGATTGTGTATGCATCGTAACAAGCGGAGCATTTAGCGTCATGCTTTAATTACTGGACATTATAAGTTCAGAGACCTTATGCCGACAGTTATCGGACTTCAGCATACTGAAAAGTGCTGATGAAACGATGTTGTCAAGCAAGCATTGGCTCTGTTATCAATGCTTGACGTTTCCAGGTATGTTTAAGGTCACAAGTGAACAGGGTTGAAAAATCTGTGAACTCGGAATGCTGAAAACCCAGGAGCTCAAGACCTGTCTTTCTTATATGAAGTCTTATTACTGGGGATGTACCTGGCCGTGCCTTTGGAGTACCTAACAGCGAATGGATAGACTATGAACCTTTAACCCAGGTGTCCAGTTGTGCGAGCATATACACGAACTCAGTGCAAGAAAGGACACCGCTGAGTCTATAACCAGGAGACGAATCCATGAAGCGCAGCTATGCACCAGGGACTTAAGCAAACTCCTCGTGATCAAAACATGAGTCAGTTACGCGCACAGCTCGAAATCCTAAAGCACTCTCCTTCCCGGCGTCCCACACGATGGAGCCCAAGTTCCCAGGGCGGCACCCAGGGCGACTTCTTACCGTCCAGGGCGTTGTCAATCGGCATGCAGCGAGCCGCCGGGAAGAGCGCCACCAGCAGCAGCAGCGGCAGGGCAGGAGAGCGGGCGGCCGCCATGTCGGGACGGGTCGGGGCTAGTGTGACCTCAACAGGCGCGCGCCCCGGCCTCTTATACATGCCGAGCGCGCCGACACGGCCCGACTGCGGAGCCGCCGCCGCCGCCGCCGCCGCCGCCGCCGCGGTCACGTGACCGGCCGGCTGGCGTGTGGCCGGCCCGTCAGGCGTTTCTCGCTCTGTGTGTGGGGACGGCTGCAATTGCATGGCAGGAACGTGCCCTGCGGCGGCGGCCGAGGCCTGCCGCCCTCGGAGACCGGCCGTCTAGCTTCGTCGCCGGGCGCGGGAGCGGGTCACCACGCAGGCCGGCGAGCGGGTCAGGGGTCAGGCTGCCGGTCAGACTGTGGAGCGGGTCGCGAGTGAGACTGTGGAGAGGGTGGGCTGTCAGACTGGGGAGCGAGAACGGTGGACTACGTAGGCTCTGCCGTAGGGTTACGCCAAGCCAACAGGTTGGCAATGATTCTGGAGTTTCGTGGAACAGCTAGACCTCCATCCTCGTCCAATCAGGGGCGAATTAGCATCGCAGGCCGTCACGCTCAATGGCTAATGCGGCGCCTGCTCTGCCCTTGTCGAATTTCCCGACTGACCAGCTGGAGTAACCAGAGCCGATTCAGAGAGCTCCCGTGACGCACCGTGCCCTCCTCCCCAGGCGCATCGCGCGCCTCGGGCGGTGCCGCACAGACCTCGCCCCTCCCCGCCCGGCCCAGACGCCGGGCCGGCAGCGGTCGGTCGCACTCTCGCCGTGGGCGGCGCAGCACGCGATCCTCCCGATCGTCTGTGATCGTCTGCGCGCCGCCGTGCTACACTGTAACCGGGCCGGCTTGTCCGGGAAGCTCGGGAGGGCGCGCCGAATGGCTGCATAATTGGCGGCTTCGCTGCCCGTAGTGACGGGCCAGAATCCACGCTGGTCTGAATTAAGCGGCTGGCAGTCGCGGCTGCTCCATCGCGATAGGTAAAGGATGCGGATGCGGTGGCAAGGAGCTGGTGAAGCCCAGGTAGCGGGGCATGTGGATGGGCGCGGCGTGCACGCTGACAAAATGTTCCCTGTTTTCTACCAGGAAAGATCAACTGCTGTGCAACATATTGTTGTGATATCCTCAGTGAACTGGTCGTTTTGCTGCACATGATGTCCGCACTATGTCAGCTGCATGAGGTGACTTCCTGTTTACAGGCGAGGCTGCAAACCGGACCAGCATTATCTGAACACTGAGCAGGCCGGACGAGTATTACCTGAACAGTGTGCAGACCGAACGAGTATTAGCCGAACAGTGCGCAGGCCGGACCAGTATTATCCGAACATTGTGCAGACCTGACGAGTATTACCTGAACAGTGTGTAGACCGGAGGAGTATTAACCGAACAGTGTGCAGAACGGACGAGTATTACCCAAACAGTGTGCAGGTCGGACGAGTATTATCCGAACAGTGTGCAGACCGGACGAGTATTAGCCGAACAGTGTGCAGGCCGAACCAGTATTATCCGAACAGTGCGCAGACCGGACGAGTATTACCTGAACAGTGTGTAGACCGGACGAGTAATACCCGAACAGTGTGCAGAACGGACGAGTATTACCCGAACAGTGTGCAGGTCGGACGAGTATTAACCGAACAGTGTGCAGACCGGACGAGCATTACCTGAACAGTGTGCAGACCGGACGAGCATTACCTGAACAGTGTGCAGACCGGACGAGCATTACCTGAACAGTGTGCAGACCGGACGAGCATTACCTGAACAGTGTCATTCTCAGCACGGATGGACAGGCCGGGTCCCGTCGCCGCCGACGCCGTTCTTCAGTTGCCGATATTCTGGCAGGCGATAAATGCGGCTTCACATAGGTTTCATTAAAGAAATGTGCAATTGCACGGGTGTTATGGTGTGCTACGGCGTTTAGAAATTTGCTTGCAAATGATTTAAACGGGCGTATTTTCGGCAGCACCGCACTATGGCCAAAATGCGGATATTCCATTAATATGTTAAACGACAAAGTTGTTTATTATGAAAAAGGTGCACAGGCGAATCAAAACCGGACCAACGCCTTGACGCAAGGAGGTAGGCAGAATTTCACGGTGGAGGGTACAACAACAATGAAAGCCGAGTTTGGGGCCCGCAGGTGAGCAAAAATTCTTGTTTAGCGTAAAACAGCATCACATGTTCTCAATTTTGATTTTACGTGTTTAACTGGAAGTTTTCACTGCTATATATATATATATATATATATATATATATATATATATATATATATATATATATATATATATATATGTGTGTGTGTGTGTGTGTGTGTGTGTAAGTATCGTAATTTTATAACGGGGCCATGTTCGCCGGTGGCCTCTATGTGAGTAATCCCATGCCTCAATGGCCTCACATAGCTGCGACGCGACATTTGGTGTTGGAGGGAATGAATGGCTTAAGCCGCGGCAAGACACCCACCTTGGGTCACACGACCGTAGACATCGAAAGACATAACGGTTTTTCACCCCATTTTGCCAGGAATCAGGCTAAAGCCTCGCATACCCTATAGCTTTTTTTGGTGCAGTGCTGAATGGTATGCATCGGTGCGGAGAACAAGAGAAGCGATTATACATTGTGCGGCCTACTCGTGCGAGTTGTATAACTAGTAAAAACCACTTGTGCTGGGATAAAAAAAAATGCTTTCAAATCTGCTGCAAACCCAATAAAACTTTTCGCATCTCGTGATGTCGCCACGGAGTAGCACGTTCGCCATGATTGAGGGCAGGAGCCCTGAGGACGTCGTGCGTTATAAGCTTGAAAGATGCTTCGGGGCAAGTGTACTGTGGTTATCTGAATAGATACAGCATATTTGCAGTAGAGCGCTACCTACGCTTTGATAGAAGTGCTTCGAAGAGAGTCATAATGATCATCAATGTCAAATGATGTAGTTATCATCGACGCACCTAAGTATCCGCACAATGACAATGAGATTGTGCACTGATTCAAAGAAACCGATGCTTAAAGCATAACAAAAGATAAAATAGAAGTAATGACGTCATGCAGGCACACAGTGGGGCTTCTCATTTTACCCGCGTCATAATGTGGGATGCGTGTGACCTGCCTCACCTTGGGATGATCACCTGCACCAGCATGCTTCTCCGTTCTTGTTCTCATGCAACTGGTGTTGACCCCGCGCTACTACATCCTCGGGTAATCGCGATGTAAGGGTGACTGACCGGTCTTGTGGTAATGCTCCAATAGCACGAATTTGTATGATTTCACGATAACTGAATGAACAGGTTAGCTTTTGGTAATATTGCGATGCATCAGGAAATCATGTGTAATCAAACAGTTTCCACGCAATGGCCTGGAAAACAGCACAGAACAACCTTTGAAGAATTTGGCAACAAATTATAATTGGTGCTGGAATCTATCCGTGTAAACATGAATTACTGGATACACCCCCTGAAGGCGCGTCAGCAGGGGCAGGCCAGATTACTGACTCGATGATTTTACGCTAACACAAGCACAATGAGATTTCCTCGTCCTATGGGCCTGTTCACAGCAAATTTCACGATATTTTCCAAAACTAAACGCCTTCCAGGAATACGCTACTACTACACAAACTTCGCTTTCCCTAGATCTCCGGCACACCCTTTTATAATCAGCGGCCGCTTCATGCATATTTGCGAGGCCATGGTGGGTGCCGCTCGTTAAGCAAGAGGCGGCGGATGCACGGTAATGCTCAATGGTTCTTGGAATCGCCAAGCCCCGCTTGTAATCCGATTTAAGCCTTCATTCATTTATGGCATGTCACGCAAAGATATTATCGGTGCAGCGTGACGACTGTTGTGAGACGGTGTGGGATTCCTGCTCGGGGGCACGAGGCACGCATGACAGAGCTTCGATGTCCGATCAGATCCCGCGGCGTCGCGTGTGGGCGCCAGCGACGTGCCGCTGACTTCAACACCCCTGAGCTGAAAATCCTACGAGGTATCCAATGTCGATGTCGGCGACCCTGTCGAAACGTGATGACACTGCTTCCTGCCCGGCCATGAGAACGATGACGGCAATGTAAACGGACGGGAGCAAGTGCAGAGGGGTGTGCTAGGAAGTGTTTTAAACGAAGAAATTGGAATAATGAGCTCGCCAAGCCATGTTCTCGCGGCCATGGCAATGGTGCTCAAATGACGCGTGCACTCGCTCGCGCTCAGATTAGCGGACAAAGTGCGTCCTCTCGCCAACAGTATGAGTTTACTAGGATTCCAGCTCATGTGAACTTTGGTCGGTTTTTGTCTACTGGATCTTCTTATACATTACGATTCAAATGACGCGACAGTTTTGCAGATAAATCGTGAATATGAGACGCAGGCACTGCAGGAAGACTTTTGCCCCAGCTGCTGCCCGCGTCAAGTGGATTGTTTGCATTTGCACCCGACTGTCTCTGGAGGATATCGCGGTGTTCTGCGATGTTTCACAAAACGTTTAAGCATTCACACTGCGCAAACAACACGAAATCTTGTGTACTTTTGCGCGTACGGGAAGCGCGCAATCTTATCACAACCAGGCATCAGCCATTGAAAATCGGGCAACGAATATGCACGCATGCTTTGTGGCTAGCAGTGAGACATCAGCTCTTGTTTTCGTCATTTGTTACCTCGCGGGTGCTCGGGCTGGTTTGAAGGAATCCAGCGTGAGACAAAAGGTGAAGGACCCCATGAGAGGAATTGATGCAAAACGCGTGCGTTATGTCAAGCTACTTATCACATTGGTGAGTCTGGCTCGGTGTCCTGAGGTGTGTTGTCTCGCCTTCACGAGAGAATTGATGCAAGATGTGTTGTGTTATATCAAGCTACTTATCACACCGGTGCGTCTGGCTTGGTGTGTTAAGGTGTGTGTGTTCCGCTGCGTTGGGCTTAGAGGGTGACTGCGCTGCGTGATTAACGCGTCTTGACCGACTGTTACATAATTGCCTTGCGGGCAGACTTAGTCACCGGTGATAAGTATCGCATTTCACTAATGAGACCCCTTACCATTGCTGCGCAGCTGCTCCACGCAATAGTTGGGAGGCGATAAGCTGCAATTTAGGCTAGTTTTATGCAGCCAAATATCTCTTTAAAG